GGCTCGGCCGCGTGTTCTTAGGAGCCGAGAAGTGGACGCAAAGCGGTCGAAGCAGCCACTCTCGATAAGATAAAAAAAAAAAAGAAAAAAAGGAAAAATGTTCCCATAGCTGCGACCGAGTTTCCGCGGTTTTATTTTAAACAGCGTACGAAGCGTTCGCCGTTGCCTGTATATAAGGTGGTCTATCGGGAGAGACTAGCTTCCGGTCGACTCGAGGTTTTTCTCATATCCTTCGTGTAGCTTCTCGCGATACTCACGGCCAGTGGCAGGTACACCTATATTTGAGACCTCCGTGCGCGCTCGACCATGTAATGACCACCGTTTCATCCCGACGCAGGAAGAGGAACAGGTTTTTCATTTTTCACTGGCTTATCGTCCCACCTCAACCTCAAGCTCGTCGATTCTCCGGACGTCGAGACTCTCGGATGGAAGAAAAAAGAGGCGAGGGAAAAAGAGAAGACGGGATACGCTGCTACGCGCGGATGTCGGTCCTGCCGGCGTCGAAACAACGACGCTCGAGCCACGAGCATCGAATCGTATTCCCTTTCTTGGACGCGACGAAGACGACGAGAGAGAAGAGAACGGAGGAAAAGGGAGGAATCGTAGGCAGGGAAAGAGCGAGCAGCGGTTAGTTACGAGGAAGACGCGGTTATGGGCCAGCACTGACACGTCCTGACACGCCTACGCGATCTCACGGTCGATCCTGTTTTAGGATAAGGCGGATTATCAACGCGGCTTCGACGCAGGTGTCCCTGCTGAGCTCACCGCGGCACCTTTTCTCTCCATCTTATCCGCGACCTCCACCGCGATCCTCCTCGTTCTTTATTCTTCTCTCTTCGTCGACGTTTCCATCGCGCGAAATACTTACTTACGCGAACGCGTTTCTATAAAATGTTTATCGCGAAAAATCGCGAGGTGGCCGAGGTGCGTTTTATTTCCATTTATTCTCGCTTTAATCGCGTTTAGTTTAGTCGCCCCTTTGTATCCTAGGAGGATAGGAGGCGAGGAGGAACGCGATCGTTGCCGAATTACGCAACAAGGTGAAAATCGACGAGAGTAGCGCGCAGAATGCCGCGAGAATGCCGCGTAGGAAACGGAACGCGTTCGAACAAAGAGAAACAGCGAGGTTTCCTAATTAAACAGAGACAGATTCAAAGAGGTCGTAGAATAGGTGTAGAATTTCGACGCCTGTAATAACAAAGGCATGTGTTTGCCGCTCGCTCGTCTTCCCTCTTAATTTTTTCGCCCGGGAAAAACCTCGCCGTCCGTTGTCCCTGCTCTTTCCGATAAATCGTCGCGGCCGGTTTTCTCGTTACGACCGATGGCTCTATCGCGACCGTAGCTGCTCGAACGTCGTAAGAATTCGCGTAGAACGGAAAAGCCAGCCGTGGCGAACAAATATGAAAACACAGGGGATCGAGGAGAAAAAATTGCGAATGCGCGTCGTGTGTTTATGCGTTGTAATACATGTATGCATATGTAGGAATGGTTACGCGGACGCAGCCTTTCTTCGCGGCCGTCGTTCGTCGTCATCGGTCATCGAACTCGCGACAAATTCAAAATAAACGGTCGAAGCGCACTCGAGTTCGCGTATACAGTTACCGCCAGCCATCCGTTTTTCTCGCAAATTTTCAGAGACTCGTTGGAAACTATATCGCGATTCCTCCGAACCGATGAAACTGCTTTCATCTGGTCGATCGCGACGCTTTTCGACGTTTCGACGTTCTCTATAGATGCACTTGCTCTTGCAGAAAGGGGAAAAGCCACGACGACGCGTGAAAATCAGTTGGACGAAGTTTCTCGCGAGCTTGGCGAACCGGCTGTCACGGACCGCAGCCCTCTGGGTGTCACTGGCTGCCGTCCGGAATAACCGAAGCTCTCCGGACGATCGTCGCATCGGTATCTCGTCCTTCCTCTTTATATTCTATCTGACCTTCTTTCGAAGCTACAGTCGTTTTTTTCGTTTCGATAATGCCCTCGTTTGAATTTACCTCGTTAGGCGCCGCTGGATCGTGGAAACCGCGATGGAGATGGCCAGCCCAAAGAACGCGACGATATTAATTTTCCGATAAGGTAAAGATCTATTCGAACGTCGTACAACGACAACGACGATCGGTAACCAGATACAAAGAGTAGTTGCAGTTTTCTTACTCTTTTAAGAAACAGATATGGCTTCTAACGCGCATCGGCCAGCTTACCTAGACGACCCCTTTAGAGGGTGTGACCCTGCCGATAGAAATCGTTGGTTCGTTGAACGTTCGCGAGGAATCGAGAGAACGGATCGAGGAACATGGACGTAGGAACATGGACGAGCAACGTTTCGAGCGGTATAAGGATGTCCGGTGAGTCGTTTCACGGAGCAATTTTACATATATCGCCTAGATACTTTGACGTCGCACTGACCGCGATACAAGGTCGATCGATATCGATCCGTCGCGTAATCGTGTCCGACGCGTAACGGTTCGGTATCGGCATCGTTTGCCACACGGACGCAATTAGCAGTCGAATTGCGTTATTTTCGTGGAACGGTGGCATTCGTCGAGTAAGTAAGAGTCGCGACGGACAGCGATTCGCAGAGTCATAGAACGCCGGGTAAAAATATTTTCTCGTTGGAGTACGCGAGAATCGGCCGTGATGGCTGTATCGTTAGACAGGGACAAAGTCGGGAGAAAAAGGCGTCGGCCTGGTTCTGGTGCGCGCACGAGCGTTTAAGAAGAAGAAAAGCGGAAAGAGAATATCGGACGGTTTACGAAACGATCGAGCAAACGGAAACTCGACGAGTTAAGTTTAAGGCGTGTATGCTTATTACGATGGTTACGAGCGAATACCATGGCTGCGATCCGGATCCACGGTTGCAGAGGAAACGAAGAGAAACGCGATGAAACGCGTAAGAAAAGAGTGGCGCGACGTGTCGATCAACCAGCACCGCGGACGTACAGAGAGCGGATCGAACGAAGGCCAAGAAGGAGACGTCCAGCCGACCTACTATACGACGCTGGTTTCTAGCGGGGATATAGTGGTCCGCGCGATAACTTATAGCTAGAGGGATTTACCGAACGTTCGACAGGGCAAACCGCGAAGGGGAACAACCGAGATACGAGAAAAGAGAGGAAAATAGTCGTGGTCGTGGAAACGACGTGAAAGAGCCGGTGCTCGAAAACGTAGATACTTCCACTTGTACGGCCATGGATGGCAAGCAGAGCGCGATTCGTCGCGCGTGTACACGCGTGCAAAGGTAAAGGAAGGTGCAGGGGCCGGTAAGTAAGCGCAAGTAGTTGCGCGTATGCGAGGGAACGTAACGGCGAAACCGCACAGGAAGGACGAGGCGATGCTAGAGGGTATCTCTATGTTTCGTCGTATCGATGTCGTGCGAAGGGCTCGCGTGTCTGGCCTCTGGTAAAAGCGCGCTTCGCCGGACGACCACCGTCGACGAATTTCGTTCTTTTCACGCGCAACGCGAAACGCTCTGTCGCGGTTTACGGATTCGTCGGGTCGCGCGAACTCGAATGTCGAAATAGCCGGTTTCGCTAGGCAACCGAGGGACGCTGAGCGCGCGGACGTATCGATTTTGGGTCGCGACAGCGACCTTACAGTCCCAGAGTAAGGTAGTATCGGTATTTCTTGCGGTTCTTTGTCCCGCAGGCCGTGCACCAACCTCACCTGCGCCACGCCAGTTCGTCCAGGTAACTCGATCACGCGTGGCGTTCCCGTGACAGTAGAGCCCTTCTCTTTCCTCCCTGCTTCTACCTTCTTTCTCCACCTTCTCCACTTGATTTCTCTCTCTCTTTCTCTCTCTCTCTCGCGCTCTCTCTCGTGCTCGCCTCGCATCGTTCCACGGCTACGACGAGCCTCGTTGTAACGATCCGAGGGTGATCGAGTCGCGGCCACTTCCGGTAAGGTCCATCTCCTTTTTTTTGCTCCGACTCGAATTCCTCGCGTCGAGATTTTTTTTCTATCGTTCTCCGGTCGCGTCGTTTTTCCATGTTTCTTCTTTTTTTTGATTTTTTTTTCCTTTTTGTCGCTCGAAATTAAAAGAGTACCACCTCTCCTTCGTAACGCGCGCAAAGAAAGACGGAATCGCCGGAAACTCGCAACGAAAGAGTATAACAAGTCGGAATCGTTGGTTTTGCAGAGCAGCGTTTATTATATTTAGAGCGCGAGTTAGAACGCGAGATGATATGCCATTAGAAGGTCGGTAGAAAGAGCGGATAAGAAACGGATAAGAAACGGATAAGAAACGAGATCGTCCTGTACCATTAGAATGGCAAGCGAGAGTTTCGAACGCGATTTCGAATTGCCGTTTCGAAGCAGGCTTCCGTCGTTAACGGTGCGCGTTTACGAAGAAAAACGTCGTGCAATTATATAAAAAGGAAAATTACGACGAACGCGAACGTACGTAATTTCTGCTCGCGGTTTTCTATTTCTAGCTTGCAACGACCGATACGTAGCTCGCAGTTGTTATTTGATCGACCGTTAGGATTTTTGCACGGCCGTGTTTCGTGGGTCTTGATTAGGAGAAAGATCGAGAGAGAGAGAGAGAGAGAGAGAGAGAGAGAGAGAAAGAAAGAAAAGCAGCGCTGGCCGAAGAGACGGGGAAATAAAACGCGCTAGGTAATTAACGCGCGGCAAAATAGGCAAGGAATGTTTTTCGGTAGCACAGCGGTACGTCGATAGTCCCGTAACTCTGCTTGGTATTACCAGTATTACCAGACAACGGGCGCGGAGTCTGCACTATGACGAAGTCATTACCAGGAACACGTTGCTTTCACCCGATGGAGGAATCGAGGAGGCGTTCAAACACCGTTCGATCGACCTCGGCTCGCGTCCGCCTAAACGCGCCTTTGTCTCTGCTTTCTTATTCGTGTTCCGCGTGTACCGATCGCTCGATTACCAAATTCCCGTACTCGTTTCTGTACTTGTTGCTATAAAAAAAAAAAAAAAAAAATTACGTCAAGAGACGGTCGGACGCGACGTGTAAGATGCCGAGGTAAATGCAAGCAGGAAGACGTAACGGCGAGCTCGAGCCGAAAGGCACGGATAAAAAATAAAATGGAAAATAATGGAACGCGTATGTCCGCGTGGCTCGATAAATACGTGCTATACGCGACGACCGTGTAAATAATCTGGTCGACGCATGGTACTTTCGGTGTTTTGGTTCGCGCGTTTCTCGCAGATCGATGGTCGATCGCGCGCGTCTTTTCTATTCGTCAACAAATATTACGCAATACGTTACGTCAGCAGCGTTACATACTACGCTACTATCGCGTGTTATCGTCTGTTTGTCAACAAACGTATATAAGAAACGCAAGACCTTGTATTCGGATATTTCCCTTCGTGTCTTCCGTCGCCAGCTGTCGCCACTCCGACTCCGACTTTGCGCCGAACGTAAGATATTTCAAAAACGATTGTATAAACGAACGTAAAAGTACATCGTGACGTAACCGCGAGCGTGTCGTTCGTGACACGAGCATACGGAGAATGCAACGTTTAAAACCGCTGGGTTATTTCCTAGCGCGTTCGAAAGTTTCGATTAAAATACAAAATTCAACGTTGCTTCTCGAGCGAGTTGTTTTTCGAACAGAGGTAGAACGAACCGGTTACCTGAGACGGTTTGTTGCACGAAATCGCCGCGTTTTACTATCATTTCGAGTAGAATTCCGGCGAAACGGAGGGGCGAATATTTTCGGGAGAGAAAAATTGGTTTGCTCGGGAAGCGGAGAGTGCGATTCGTGACTCGTGAAAGAAACGGTAGACGTTGGCGTAGCCGATGCGAGTAACGCGCGTGTACAAGCTACGTTAAGGCCTTTGTACGCGTTGAATCGCGTGGCGAAGCGTGCGTCGCTTTCGGTTTATCGATAAAGGACGAAAGACCGAGAGGACGACGATGGATCTTCCAATGGCGCGTCGTCGAAAGAACGAGGAAACGCACGCGTGGCGATACCGATTCGCCGATACCGGACCTACGTAGGTCGCGAGGCGTATCGCGAAACTCGAGTAGCGATGCGTCGGAACGCGTTTCAACGTGTACAGAGGCCTTTAGAGCGGATGAAAAACACGCGAGTAGGAATTTACGGGAAAGAGGCTCGAGGCGCTGCCGGACCGACTGCT